ATGCTGTGAAAAACTAACTCTATTTCCCTTAATCCTATCCCGCCCACCCATTTATTCTATTCTTTCTTTTGACCCTGTCCCTCCTCAGAAGTATTTGCTTCTGATTACTCCCCTTCCCAATCTGCCCTCCTCTCTATCATTCCCCTACTCTCTTGTCCCCTTCCCCTCCTATTTTCCTGTAGGGTAAGACAGATTTCCATACCCAATTGAGTGTGTATGTTATTCCCTCCTTAAGTCAAATCCTATGAGAATAAGATTCACTCATTCCTTCTCACCTTCCCCTGTTTCCCCTCCACTGTAAGAGCCTTTTCTTTTCTGGTTTTTGTTTTTTTTTTTTTTGTGGGATAATTTACCCCATTCTACCTTTCCCTTTCTCCTTCTTCTAGTATATTCCTCTCTCACCCCTTAATTTTATTCTCCAGATATGACCCCTTCATCTTCAACTCACCTACGCCCTCTATCTATCTATATCTATATATACATACATATAATTTTTTCCCCTCCAACTACCCTGACACTGACAAAGGTTTCATGAGTTACAAATATCACCTTTCCATGCAGGAATGTAAACAGTTCAACCTTAATAAGTCTCTTATGATTTTCTCTTTCCTGTTTACCTCTTCATGTTTCATTCAAGTCTTGTATTTGAAAATCAAATTTTTTATTCAACTCTGGTCTTTGCAACAAGAAGGCTTGAAAGTCCTCTATTTCACTGAATGACCATTTTTTCCCCTGCAGGATTATACTCAGTTTTGCTGGGTAGGTGATTCTTGGTTGTAATCCTATCTCCTTTGCTCTCCAGAATATTATATTCCATGCCCTTTGGTCCCTTAATGTAGAAGCAGCTAAATCTTGTGTTATCCTGATTGTGTTTCCACAATACTTGAATTATTTCTTTCTGGCTGCTTGTAATATCCTTGACCTGGGAACTCTGGAATTTGGCTACAATATTTCTAGGAGTTTTCCTTTGGGGATCTCTTTCAGGAGGAGATCGGTGGATTCTTTCCATTTCTATTTTGCCCTCTGGTTCTAAAATATCAGGACAGTTTTCCTTGATAATATCTTGAAAGATGATGTCTAGGTTCTTTTTTTTGATCATGGCTTTCAGATAGTCCAATAATTTTTAAATTCTCTCTCCTGGATCTATTTTCCAGGTCAGTTGTTTTTCCAGTGAGATATTTCACATTGCTTTTTTAATTTTTCATTCTTTTGGATTTGTTTTACAGTGTCTTGATCTCTCATAAGGTCACTAGCTTCCAATTGCTCTATTTTAATTTTTAAGGAAGTATTTTCTTCAGTAATCTTTTGGACTTCCTTTTCCATTTTTCCAATTTTGCTTTTTAGGGCATTCTTCTCCTCACTGGCTTTTTGGACCTCTTTTGCCATTTGGGTTAGGCTATTTTTTAAGGTGTTATTTTCTTCAGTAATTTTGGGTCTCCTTTAGCAAGCTGTTGACTTGTTTTTTCATGATTTTCTTGCATCACTCTCAGCTTTTCCTCTACTTCTCTTACTTGCTTCTCAAAATCCCTTTTGAGCTCTTCCAAGGCCTGCGACTGATTCACATTTTTCTTGGAGGATGTAGGAGCTTTGGCTTTGTTGTCTTCTTCTGGTTGTATGTTTTGATCTTCGTTACCAAAGTAAGATAATTTAGTCTGACTCTTTTTGCATTGCTTACTCATGATCCTGGCCAATTACTTGAGTTTTAAACTCTTTGTTAAGATAAAAGTCTGCTTCCAATGTGAAGAGTGTACTGTCCCAAGCTTCGAGGGTTTGTACATCTGTTTTCAGAGGTACTTCTAGGGACCTGTAAATTTTCAGTTCTTCCAAGGTGGTATGATAAGGGGCGTTTCTTCTCTACAGCCACAACAAGCTGCACCACACCAGCATTCCTCCTCACCCCAGGACCGCCCCTCAGAACTGTGACCCAGATCCAAGCACCGGTAAAGCAAGAGATTCCTGCCTCAGCACTGGCAAAGAGATCCCTGTAATCCCCCTCAGTCTATGGGGCGGGAGCTCAGCAGGCAGCTGCTGCCCCAAGGGCATGCTCAGGACTTGTGGCTGAGACCTAGCTCCTCTCTCACCGCAGTCACAGACTTTTCCCACTGACTTTCTAAGTTGTCTTTGGCATTCAAGGGTTGAGAAGTCTGGAAACTGCCACAGTTGCCCGCAATTCAGTCCTCTGAGGCCTGCTCAAGGGTTGCTGAGGCCTGCGCGCCCATGCCACACTGTGTTCCTCTGCCCGCCTGGCGCGATACATCTTTTAGATCAACCATTCAGGCTGTCTATGGCTGGAAATTTGTTTCACTCTGTCTTTTTGCGGGTTCTGCTGCTTTAGAATTTGTTTAGAGCCATTTTTTTAGGTATTTGGATGGCTTTGGGAGAGAGCCCAAGACAAGTCACTGCTTTCCCTCCACCATCTTGGCTCCGCCCCCTCTAGCCTATCTCTTAAAAGAAGGAAACAATCTGCTGAATGTAATATTATGGCTTGCTTGAGTTGGAAATCTACCACCTTCTTGAAGGAAATATTGTGGGGAAAGAGGATTTCACTGGCCTTTCTAGCCAAAAGGGCTACGTGCCACTCAGAAGAAATTTGTCAGAAAGGGGTTTGAGAAAGCAAGGATCATAAACTGAGGGGTCTGACAGAGCATTTTAATTGATCATTACCTTCAAAAAGTGAGAATACTGGGAAGAGTAACAGAAAGGTTCTGCCTACTAGAAGAAGTGGGAATTTTAAATGGCAATGGGAAACAACTTAATCGATTGGGCCTTGGGAGCAAATGGTCCAGGGAAAGTATATGGACACATTTGGGATATCTGATACATAGGGTTTAATATCTCTGAATCTGATTCATCATCTTTCCCATTTCTTAGATGAATTTCCCTAATGACCTCTCTCAGCTAAGAACCTTGCCATTCAGCTTACTTAAAAAATTAAGGCTATTCAACATAAGCTCCCTTTTTCCCCATTCTCTTTATCTCAAAAGCCCTTGACATCATCACCTATTCTCTCCTTTCCCCAAATCTCAGACAAAAAGATGGCCTTTCTCTTTGCCAAGGTCAAGCCTTCTACATATGTGCTTAATCCCGTCCCCTCCCGTCTTCTGTAGCAGACTGTATGCTCAACTATCCTCCCCCTCCTCTCTCAAATCAGCAGTCTCTACCTTTCAACTGTTTTCCCCTACTACCTTAAAACATGTCCAAATTTCCCCCATTATTTTAAAAAAAAATCCACCACTTCCCCACTTACTGTGAATATTCCCCAAGGTTCTGCTCTGGGTCCCCTTTTTTTCTCCCTCTATATTATCTTGGTAACTTCATCAGTTTCCATGGATTTAAGTACTATCTCTATGTACATGACTTCCAGTTCTATAATCCAGTCCTATTCTCTCCCCCAAGATTCAGCCCTAGATCAACAATTTTTTATTACACTTCTCAAGCTGAATATCCCAGAGATATCTTAAACTCATTATGTCTAGAACTGGACTCATTATCGTCCCTCTAAAACCCTCCTCTCTCCCCAACTTCTCTATTTCTATTGAAAGCAATATCATCCTTCCAGTGACTCTGATTTGTGATCCTAGTATTGTCTCCAACTCTGTAGTTTCCCTCACCCTACATATTTAGCTGACAAATTTTACCAATTCTAATTTCGCAATTTCTCTTGCATCTAACCTCTTCTCTCCACTCACACAGGTTACCTACCTTAGTTTACATCCTCTTACCACCTCTTGCCTAAATTATTGCAAGAGCCTCCAAGTCAGTTTCCCTGCCTCAAGTCACTCATCACTCCAATTAACCTATAAAATGCAATCAAAGTAACTTAAGTGTAAATCTGACCATGTAACTTCCCTTCTCAACCAATTCCTACTTGGCTTCCTACTGCCTTTAGGATAAAAAGATAAACTCCTCTATTTAGCTTTAAAGCACTTTAAAATATGGCACCAACCTATCTTTGCAAACTAGTTAAATATTATATATCCTCACCAGTACTCTATGATCCAGATAAACTTGCCCTCACCACACTCCACTTCCCATCTCTGTGCTTTCAACTGATTGTCTCCCATGCTTGGAACGTACTCCCTCTTTACCTCTACCTCATAGAGGCTCTCTTTTCCTTTAAGATGTCACTTAGGTTCCATCTTCTGCATAAAGACTTTCTAGTTGCTGTGAACTTCTAGCACTTCCCTCTCAAGCTACCTTGCACTTAACTGCTTTGTATACATTTGTATTTGCTACCTTTATATTTATGCTGCATATATTTTTATCTGTATTGGTCATCTTCCCTGTGAGAATATAACACTGACAGCAGGAATCATTTCATTTTTTTGTACCTATATACCTAGGACTTAGCAGAATACCTGGCATAGACAAGGTGTTTCATAAATACGTGTTGACTGATTACATGGCAAGCCAGGAAGACTTGAGCTTGCCCTCTTTAAAACCTTAAGAGCCAAACTATCAGGAGAGATTTTTTGAATGGAAGAGAAAAGATTTAAAAATCCCCACATAAGGGGCAGCCAGGTGGTGCAGTAGAGGGGCAGCCAGGTGGTGCAGTAGAGCACCAGCCCTGGATTCAGGAGGAACTGAGTTCAAATCTGGCCTCAAACACATAACATCTACTATCTGTGTGACCTTGGGCAAGTCACTTAACCCCATTGCCTAGCCAAAAAAAAGTTCCCACATAAGCAATTCTATATTAGCTGGGGCATAGAAACACATACTATTTGGCAAATTATGATTGGGGATGTGTGGAATAGGGATAAAACCATTCTAAAGATTCTAGATTAATGTTAATATAGTTGTTACTTAACCTGACAAATAACCTTGCCATTTTCTGGGAAACAACATATAACAGAAAACAGAAGGATAGGACTAAATGATAAAAATCAAATACCAGTTATATAAAGGATTAGTAACAACAACAGGCACTAGCAATCAGCAAGAACTTTAAATTCTAAGACGTAAAAAATCTTTTTAAAAGGTGATTTAAGAGAACTTACCCAAGTCAAAATCATACATACAATAGGTCATCAAAATGTCATGAAGTAAAATCAATCCTGGATTATCTTTGCCTTCATAAAACTTGTTTGTTCGGTCTGTTCTCTTAACATCTTTTTCTGAAAAGAAAAAAAAGCTGTCAGAGTAATTTAAATGCTTCCCAAAGCCAATTTTATTAAGCTCAAATCTTTAAACTGCAACATTTTTCCTTATTATTGATTTTACATTGTTTCCAGGTTTTAAAGTATAGACGAATGAAGTCATCAAATGTCATTTTAAATGCTTTGAAGCAGCTGTATAGAAAGTAAAGTATAATAAGCTTCTTTAAAATGAGATGATTTACTTGAGAATAGATTTTCCTTTTTTTCCATTTTCTATATACATCTGTAGAACCTTTTTAATTAAATGGTAGAAAACATTTTCAATAAATTTAAAGCAACACTGAACACTACTGCATTTAGTTAGTAATAAAATACATGTGATATTTAAAATAAATAACGAAAAAAGCTATTACGCAATCCAGTTTAATCAAAAGGATTTTGTTTCATTCATAATTACTTGGTTTCTTAATTTGTCATAGTCCATAATCGTTTTTATTTCAAGTAGCTTCTTTATTCTCAGGCATCATCATTCAGTCAAAAATGTATTGTGCTAAAATGAAAAATAAATTATAAGTTCTCTCCAAAAATTATTCCATAGCCTTAAAAAGATAGTATGATATAGTATAATTGGGTGTCTGTCTTCTGAAGTTATATAACCATTTCCCTATTTTAATTCAATAATAAATCACTAGTAAAAAAGAATTTGTAGAACTTCCAAATTATAAACATATTACACTGTAATCAGCTCAATTTGGGTATATCTCTGTCTTCCTATCTCACCCCCTCAAATGTATATGTGAGTTGAAAAAAATTTTTGCTAGACTGGGGGAGGGTTGACTTTTTACTAATCAATAATTAACCAAAATAAATTATCAATAAGAAAACATTGGGGGCTGCTAGGTGGTTCAGTGGATAGAGCACTGACCCTGGAGTCAGGAGGCCCTGAGTTCAAATCCACCCTCAGACACTTGACACTTACTAGCTGTGTGACCCTGGGTAAATCACTTAACCCTGATTGCCTACCCAAAAATAAATAAATAAATGAATGAATAAATAAATTATTTAGAAAAAAATTTTTAAAAAAGCAAAAAGAAAACATTGGTTTAGATGCACTGTGGCTAAGGTTCTTAGGGTCTGTTTTTGTTTTTATTTTTTAACAGTATTCCCCCTCTACAACATTTTATTTCTAATACAGTAACATTCTCAAAGAAGTAAATCTATACCTCTAAAACAGTAAGAAAACTTTCCATTATATATGTATTTTGACCGACCAACAAAAATAATTAGTTATAAACTTAATAGCAGTTTTTTGATCAAAAGGTATCAAAACTGCCCATCTTAAACAGATAATTAATTAATAATCCCACATCCAGAAAATTTTAGTAGCCAGAAACTACTCTGCTGACTTCCAGTCTCATATACTCCAACTACCTACTGGATGTCCTGTAGACATCTTAAACTCAACATATCCAAAAGTGAACTTATCTTTTCCCAAAAACCATCCCACTTCAAACCTTTTCTATTATTGTCAAAGGTACCACCATCTTCCTAGATACCTAGTGTATACCTAGGCTCACAGATCTAGGTACCATCCTCAAATACTCACTCTTTCTCACTCCCCATATCAAATCTGTTCTCAAGGCCTATGGATTCTAGCTTCCCACCTTCCCTACCTTCCTTGTATATGCTTCATTCTCTCCTCTGACACTGTCCCCATCCTGGTGCAGGCCTTCATCTCTTCATGCCTGAACTATCGCAATAGCCTGCTGGTTGGTCTTCCTGCCACTCCAGACCATCCTCTACTCAGCCATCAAAATGATCTTCCTAAAGCAAAAATCCAACCATATCACTTCCCCCTACTCAATAAACTCCAGTGGCTCCCTATCACCTCTAGAATCAAATATAAAATCCTCTGCTTGGCATTCAAAGCCTTTCATAAACTTCCCACCCATACCTTTCCAATCTTCTTACACTTTACACTCCTTAAACTCTTAATGTATTCTTTGATCCAATGACATTGGTCACTTTGCTATTCCTTAAACAAGACATATCATTCCCCTGATGCCAGGCATTTTCACTGGCTATCCCTCATTCAAAGTATGCTCTCCCTTCTTGTCTCTACCACCTCTAACTCCCTTGCCTAATACCTTCAGGTAATAGCAAAAATCCTCCCTTCTAAAGGAAGCCTTTCACAACCTCTTTCAATACTACTACCATCTCTCTGTTGCCTATTTCCTATTTATTCTCAAGAAAACCCCAGGAATTGTCTTTTGTCTTTCTTTATATACCCAATGCTTAGCACCCTGCCTGGCACACAGTAGGCTCTTAATATATGTTTAATGACTAATAGTGGATTTGTAATATTATCCATTAGAGGTAAGGAATTGCATGCCTGCCTATCCAGTCCATAATTTTGTCCATATAGTCCCTTAAATTTGCCACAGAAGGGCGTACCAAATGTGCTAGAGGGTCTTCCTCAGTCTCTTCTAACATCTCAAGGATATTAATGAATCAAGGAGGTTATCCATCTCTTGGATTTGTAATTATAACTGGTCCCTTTTTTTCCTGATTGCAGATTTCTTTCTAGTTTTTTTTTTTTGTTTTTTTTTTTTGGCTAGCCAATGGGGTTACTTAACTCATTACTTGCCCAGGGTCACATAGCTAGTAAGTGTTATGTGTCCGAGGCCGGATTTGAACTCAGGTCCTCCTGAATCCAGGGCCAGTGCTCTATCCACTGAGACACCTAGCTGCCCCTGATTGCAGATTTCTTATAAAAGTTTTGTAAAAAATAAAACCTCTTCACAGTTAAACTTTATGAAAGTGATCCATGCCCAACACCTCAAAAACAATGTCTCTGCAACCCCTTCCCAAATGGCTTCAGCCTCCAAATATTATACTGAAGCTGCTCTAAAGACCCCAATCAAGTGGCATTTTTTCCATCACCTGCTTGGTCTCTTGACAATGATGACAATCACTCTCTATTTCTGGATACTGTCTCTCCTCCCTTGACTTTAAAGATAACACTCTCTCATTCTCCTACCACTAGGAAGGGAACCAGAAAAGGCAGACAGTGACATTTTAGCTGAGTCTTAAAGGAAGCCAGGTGATCTAGGAAAAAGAAATAAAGAAGGAAAGCATTCTAGACACCAAGGGAGGCAGGGCAGGGGTTGGAAGGGAGGGAGAGGGGGGATGTCAACCAGTGAAAAGGCACAGAGTGTCATGTTCAAGGAAAAGCAAGAAGGCCACTGTCACTGGATCATACAATATGTCAAAGGGAATAAATATTTGATCCTGGAGCTAAAAGGAAGCCACTGGAATTTATTTCGTAAGGGGCTGATATGGTCAGACCTGTGCACTTTGGCACCTGAAATAACGATGGTAAAGCGAGACCAACTAGAAAGCTATTGCAATAGCCCAGGTATGAGGTGACAAGTCTTACACCAGGCTGGCAACTGTGTGAATGGAAAAAAAGGGGATGCACACAAGAGATGTTAAGAAGGCAGAAATGACAAGACATGTCAACAGATTAAATACATAGAGTGAGAGTCCTGGAACATGACACTGAGTCTGCAAACCTGAGTGCCTGGGAGGATGTTGGTGGTGTCCTCAACGGTAACAGGAAATTCAGAAGAGAGCTGGGTTTTGGGATAAAGGTAATGAGTTATGTTTTGGACATGATGAATTTCAGATGTCTATAGGATATCTAGTCTGAGATATCCAACAGGCAGTCTGATGATGTGAGATTGGAGGACCAGAGAAGTTAGAACTGGCTAAGTAGACTTGAGAACCATCTACTTAGAGATAATTGAACCTATGGGAGCTGATGAGATCACCAAGTGAAACAGTATAGATAGAGAAAACAAGCTGGCCAAAAACGGACCGTACCGTGGTTACTGAGCATGACCTGGATGAAGATACAGCAAAGAAGGCTGTGAAGTGGGAGTCAAGTAGGTGAACCAAGAGAGGGTAGTGTCACAAAAACCCAGAGGGGAAAGATTATCTAGCAGAAGAAGGTAATGAACAGTGTCAAAGGCTACAAGAAGTCAAGAAAGATGAAGACTGAGATAATGTCAGTAGATTTACAACTGAGAGATCATTGGTAACTGCTGAAGAAAGCAGTTTCAGTTGAATGTTAAGGTTAGAAGCCAGACTCTAGAGTTAGAAGAGATAGAAGAAGTGGAGGCAACAAGCGTAGATGGCTTTCTAAAGCTTAGCCACAAAGGAGAGGAAAACATAGGATGACATCAAGCCAGCTTGGTAGATCAAGAGAGTATCTCATTAAGGACCGAAGACACATGGATACATTTGTACGCAGCTGGAGAAAAAACCACTAAAAGGGGAGAAATTAAAGATTAATGACAGAATCAGGACAATGTAAGAGGCACTCTGCTGGAGAAGACAGAATGAAATCAGATCACGTGTGCATGTAGAGGGGTTTGCCTTGACAAGGAAAAGGGCCACAACTGTCTATGAAACAAGGAGTAGATAGTGGAGAAAAACATTTGAATGATATGAAATAAGAAAGGGGTAAAAGGGGGGAATATTCAGCAAGTGTCCTCACATTTTTTGATGAAGTAAGAGGCCTCATCTAAGGTAGGGAAAGGAGGTGCCATGGGAAGCTGGAGGAACAAAAGATAAGATCAAACTCTTCTGAATTTCCATTTGGAATTATGCTATAAAATTGACAAACTGCCCATGCCCTTTAACCTAGTAATTCCAACACTACATATATACCCCAATGAAGTAAAAGACAGGGAAAAAAATCTAACGTATATCATAACAGTGTCATTCTTTGCAGGAAGAAAGAAATGGGAACAAAATCAGCACCCAAGAAAAATCTATAGCATATAAATGTAAAAGAATATTACCGTAGAGTAAGAAATAACAAAAACAAACAATTTATACAAGGACTACAGCAGTGCAAGAAAAAAATAACTTTGAAAGACTTAAGAACTGTGCTTAATGTAATAACCAAGCACAATTCCACTGGTACTAATTTGTTTTGCTTGACTATTGTTTACATGTTACAAAGACAGGTGGGTTAATTTTTGTTGTTGTTGTTGTTATTTAACATGGTGAGATTTAGGAATGGAAAGAGCAAGAGACGGCCTATGATAGTGACACTGCCAAAAAAAAAAGATAAGAAAGAGTCACTGAATCATTTTTAAAAAACACAGAGTAAATGGAACAAAGTTCAAGGGAAACTCAGATAAGCAGGATGGTTCTGAAGGATATTAAAAGGAAGTCAAACTCAGAGTAATGGAACAAATAAATGAAGGTTCCAGTGAGCAGAAAATTAAACATAAAGACTCTCTCCTGGCAGAGAGGCAGGAGACTACTAAGGCAGAATATTAGATACACTATCAGATGTGGTCTCTGGATCTGATATCTTTGCTTAACTTTTTTGTTTTGTTTTGTTTTTGCTGACACAGGGGAGGGTTCAGTAGGGAGAGGAAGAGTTTGGGAATGACCAGTATAAAGACAAAAAAAACAGCAATAAAGTATTTTTAAAAGTAGAAATGTGCCATATGTTTTAGAAACCTTCCTATGACCATGAAATATTTTAAGTTTAAGCACATAAAGGGGTGAATTTTAATTATGTGGAAAGTTCACTTAATCAACCAAGGATGAGGAACTATACAATAAAATCTGCATGCAATCCATCCTCCATCTTTTCAGTTTTTCATTTCTATTTTCTGACCTATATCTCCAAGTCTTAAAACATGAAGCATAAAAGTTACTTCTCTAATCTTTTAAAAATATTTTAAGTTAACCACCTCCTTCCCCATCAGTGGCATTTCCACATTCAATAAGGAAAATTACCTATAAGATTTCTATAATCCCTCAGCCTTGAGTTTCTTTTCTCTTGCTCCTCGCTGACAGATTTCCACTGCAATTTCATCCGGAAGTATTCATCACTAAAGAAGAAAACAATTTTATACCAAAGGAAGCTTTTTATGTAGTCTATGTTTATTATTTGAAAACTCTAATTTTTCTATAAAAACAAATCATCAAAGTATAAAGGAATTATCAAAAGTATTTAAGATGCCTAAGGGACACAATTTCATAATAATGCCATCATGGTGAAATCCTTTAAGTTATAATCATCAGACTGAAAATAATAATTCAAATTTACATAGCATTTTACGGTTTACAAAGTGATTTCCTCACAACTCTGTGAGATAGATGGTATAAGTATTGGTGTCCCCATTATTCCAATGAAGAAACTAAGGCTCATAGGTAAAGTTACTTGCTCATAGTCACACAAATAATAAAGTGTCTAAAGTAGGATTTGAACCAGGTCTATCAACTCCAAATCTCTTACTTCTGCCATTACATCAATTAATCACTAAATTAAGAATTTTTAATTGCCACTAAGCTAGGTGCTAGCTTAAACACCTGGAAAAATAATCTCATATAGGCCACAGGAATCTAGTCAGGTTAAAAAATATTTAGATCAGTTCTTGAAATCCAACCTACCAAATAATATTGTGATCATAAAATACACTAATCATAAAGGTTTCTAAAGCAATTATAAAGAAAAACACTTAAAATAAAAAGCTATTTAAGAGCAGCATTTTCCAATCATTAGAATACTTCAGTATACCAGGTATTGTGGCAGCATGACATAGTAGAAATAACACGAAATTTGAAGTGAGGATTTTGGTGTTCAAATCTTAGTTTACTACTTTGTGGCCTTGGGCAAGACATTTAACTTCTGTGGCCTCAGTTATACAATGAGGAGGCCGAACTAGCTAATTCCAATGATCTTTTAGACACTGGCAAAATGTATAAAATATTAATGAAATCTTATACTATTTAATCACAGTGATATCACTGGCAGAAAATATATATGAACCACTGTCACAAAGAACAATTTTGAAATCCCCAAGTAGGAAATTTGACCTGAAGAAAATCTAAATTATGCCTCCTTACATCTTATTCTCTATCAACAAATATAATGCAAAATGATAAACTCTTAATTCTTTCATTCTAAAAAGGAAAAAACAGTAAATGAATTACATTTATCTAATTTCTTTTAGTATCTAATGAACACTAATCCAATTCAAGACATTTGTAAAAGTCTCCTAACACAACAAATATGGGGATGAACAGACTACTTTAACCAGGATAGGGTAATTTTCAAAAGGCCACTACTATATTTTTTACGCATTTTGAATCAACAATCCACATTGTATCTTCTTAATAGTTTTCCAGAATTTTCTCACACAAGCTACGAAACAGGTAGTATAAGAATTATCACTTCCATTTTGCAGATGAAAAGAACACAGAACTTAAGCGCATCACCTATTGTCATACAACTTGGCAGTGCAGCAGACAAGACTTGAAACTAAGTCAGTAAGACCCAAGTCCAATGCACTTTCCAAATGACATCAGACATGAGAATAATGTTTTTCCCAATCCCCAAAGCAAGCAAAAAGCTCTCTTACAATTCACAATGTCATTATGATAGTGCATCTAATGAAAACGAATAACTGAGCCTGATGTACCACATATTAACACAAGTCTTAACTGTATTTCCATTTTTTAATAAAAATTCTCATGCGCCAACATCTGAAATATTCCATGTCCTGAGTCATCATATCTACATTAATTATGTGGATGAGTTATTTATTTTTTTAATAAAATACTTCATTAAATTCAACAAACATTTATTAAATGCCTAAATTAGCACACTGTGCTGATACTTACGTTTTTAATTTTTGCAAATGAGTTCTTTCTTCCTTAGTACTATCCCAAGGAAAATATCCCAGAAGGAATTTCCATGCTTGTTTTCTCAAAACATGACTGAGTCCCTGAGGTAAGTGCACATTAAACAAATTAGAAATAATGAAAGACTTACTATAGAATTTGCTCCTAACCTATGACATAGTAAGGTTACATATATGTGGAATTTTCATTAAAAGGTATCAATTCAAAAGATACTATTTTTTTCCTTATATCCCACTGAAACACTTGAATTTCTTAGGAGCTAGATGGCATGAGCATGTGGTCCATGACTAATAAATAGATTATAAAGACCAATCTGGTTGATATAAGGATACCAGATACTGTCGCTCTGCACACCCATACACAGGCCATGGGCAATTAAAAGGGCAAGAAACCCTTCTCCCCTAACTTCCAAGTAACTCCTCCCTCTGACTTCCAAACAGCTCAAGAGATTTATTTCAGCATCAGCACCTCATTTCATCAGGAAAGCTTAGGACTTTGGGAAAATAACGTAGCTCTTCCCTTGAACAACCTATAATATAACGGTTAATTAAATTACCCCTCTGAATATCTTTTGCTTCATGCCATCTACATTTAAGATTCTTCCTTCTGAATCCATGTTCTTAGACCACTCATCCAGGGATACAGGATCCCTCCTCTGAACAACAGGTCGTTCTCCTAAATCAATCTAAAATGGAAAGATAAGTTACAAACTTTACACCATTAAGCAATGATAGGAAATAACTTCTTATTACAAAAAATGAAATAATAGTATCTGTTGGGCAACATAAGAACCCTTACTTTTGAAAATGTTCTTCCATTTATTTTCTCATTTCATAAACTTACTTAGTAAGCAACATCTAAACTGCCTGATATAGTTAGTATCAAACACATTTTCCTCCCTGTTAACAAACACATAAATGATGGGTACTAAGGCAAAAAAAAAAAAAAAAAATCACAGAATCTTAAATTTGGAGCTATAAGAGATTTGAGAAACATCTAAACACCAAGAGCTCTTAACCCTTTTTTTTTTTGTCATGGCAGTCTGGTGAAGCCTATGGAATCCTCAGAATAACATTTTCAAATAAAATAAGCTATGTAAGACAACTAAGGCAACCAATTACATTGAAATTGTTATCAAAACACCTTTTTAAAAAGTTCACACACCCAAGGCTACAACACCTGATCTAGACCAACTTCCTTCTTTTATAACTGAAAAAACTAAGGCCTAAGGAGATGAAGTGATTTTTCAGGGCAACTGCACACAGGTTGCAAAACAGAAGAGTTAGCTAGATGCTCTAACTCCAAGACTAAACTCTCTGTACCATACCACGCTAAAATCTCATAGAAGCAACTTATAAAGTGTGTAACAGACTGCTCAAACCAGTGTACTACATTACATTTTTTTTCTAATTTTGGTTATAAAGTTATTCTATGAATTATCACCTAGAACACATTTTTACTCACCACTAAAAGATGTCATTTTTAGGTAACTAATCCATGACCCCTTAAGTAAATATTAATAATTTTGTACTATACTTGGTTTAGCAGATGTAGATAATTTATAACTAAACAAATTTGTAAAATAATCCATTTTTGCAGCATAATTTAAACATTTGAAATTTTTTACATGTATTCAAACCCAGAACTTGTCAAGAACCAAAGACGTCTCTGAGCAGGTATAACAGTATGTCACAGGGGCAGCTAGGTGGTGCAGTGGATAGAGCATGGGCCCTGAAGTCAGGAGGACCTGAGTTCAAATCCAGCTTCAGACCAAACACTTAACACTTACTAGTTGTGTAACCCTGGGCAAGTCACTTAACCCCAATTGCCTTAAAATAGATAGATAGATAGATAGATAGATGGATGGATAGATAGATAGATGGATGGATAGAGAGATAGATGGATAGACAGATAGATAAATAGATAGATGAATGAATAAATAAATAAAATTGGGAGGAAAAAGATTAAAATATTTAAAAAAAAAAGGTATGTCACAGTTCAGGACTTAAGGTCCTTTGAGTGAAAACAAGTGAAAACAAAAGCTCTATTTAGGGAGGAGATAGAGCAAAATGAGAATAAATTAAGTCCACAATCAATCAGCTAACAAGAAAACATTTGTTATTTTTAGGCCCAGGTTCCATAAGTGGAAATGAACTAGGGGTTTATTGGGCAGAGGCTACTTCCTCCAAAGTTACAAAGCACTATAGCAATATACAGTCCATCAATAATGAGGAATAACTCAAAGAAAAAAAGTTGGTCAAGTTAAAACCAAAAGCATTTGATAACAGAAAGTGCATTACAGGTAGGGAATACTAAACAGTGATAGATGGAAGGCTCAAGAGAAAGGGTTGATGATAGTGATATGTCACTATAGTCAAACTAACCTTTAGCTTTTATACATTCAGTACAAGATTTTTTTTTTTTTCAATCAGTAAAATAAAAGTTGTATAAATACATATTTCCACTCACTCTAGTAATGACTTCAAATCCTGGTTCTTCCTGCTGGTTTATTTTTAAACCTGGAATAGCATCGCTAAGAAAATCTGCCATTTCTGAAGGTGGTCGCTGATGAGCTGAAGGATCATTGCCTCTCAAACTATCAAAAATGTAGTTGGTGACTTTGGAAAATCCTACAAGAGTTGCTGTATATGGGTCCTTTTTGATTTTCTACAGAACAGGAAGACAAACATAACTTTAGCAGTACTATAGTAAAAAGTAAACAAATGAACATTAATAGAAGGGTCAAACAGAGTAAGAAAGGAGAATCAAACTAAAACAAAGATTTTCTCTACAAGATTCGATTGTTTTCTGGGAAGGAAAATTTGAATTTTTCTATGCTAACCTTTTAATTGAGTAAAAATCAAAGAAAAGTGATTCTATCATAAGTATCAACTTGCTGCTACTGATTCAAAATGCAAAAGAACAAATGATGTGTGGGTCTCATTCAGTCCACATTCAACAAAAATGTATATAGTCCTTACTTTCCAATGGTGAATGGCCCACGACAACTTTCTTCTGTCTAGTAGTCCTGCCTTCATAGAAAAAATATTTCTTGAAGCATGGTATACCCTATCACAATCTTACAAAAACCTATTTAATATACATCCGAAAACTGTAATTCCTTAAGCAATATTAATTCTGCTTGTAAATAAGTTAAATTATTTGATACTCTAGAGCCACAAAGGACAAAACTAATTTATGAGGAAATGCTATAGATTATAAACCAAAATATCCAATAATTTCAAGATGAAAATTAATCATTAGTGAAAATAAGGATCAAACTCACAAAAAATTTTCAGAGAAATAAAGATTCTTCTGTAGAAATCAGCAAGTATAACAAACAGCATAAAATAATTTCACAGCAGAAAGTAGCTGGATATTTTAGTGGAATACAATTAAGGAGATAAATAGGACTAAATCCTTTGGTATCCCAACACTCTCTAAGGTTACATGGTTCCAAAATAACTGAGGAGTCAATGACAAAGAAATCAATCCAACAAGGTATTTATCTGAACTAATTTTTTGATTAGCTCAAGTAAACTAACCCTATACATTCTACAAAGTTGAACTATGCTAAATTTATTCAATACTAATAGAAAACTGATATAGAATAGAAAATTGCTAATTTGCATTGTCAGAATTATGGTCATAAGGAAAAAACATCACTGAAACATTTGCTAAAGAACAAGAAAGAACAAGTTACCAACAACCTTGAGAGTTTCTTACTCTAAAAATTCAAAGCATAAGACTCATGATTATAAAATGATGACTGGGTCCATGAGTCACACACAAAGTCAGCTTCCTTAAACTACAGACCCAAGTTAAATAGTATTTGGGAACAGGAGGGTAAAAGGGTTGGAGGATTTTTGAAGACAGAAAGATTAGCCCTACAGGTACCTAAAAAACATACTTGAATTAAGCCATAGGCTGGTTCATCAAGGAGATTTTCAAAGGACTGTGAAAGACCCTTATTCTGACAGTTCACAAGAAGAGTCCTTTTATCTTGTGGAGATCTGTAATAAAATGAAGACTGTATTTTTAATTTATAGAAAAAGTGACAAACTGAAGTAACTACTGAATTTTTGAATAATTTATGGATTAGCATTTATATAAGAAAAATCTTCAATCTACTAAATAGCATTAATCTAATAACAACCTTAAGATTACAAAGCAATTTCCTCATAACAATCCTGTGAGATCAGTACTATAATTATGCATCCCTATTTTACAGATGAAGACACTAGATTCAGAGAGGTTACACGACCAACTCTCTACACAAAGAATATCAGTGCCAGAAATCAAACCCAGGTCTCCTGATTCAAAGTGAGAACACTGTTCCCATTTCACCATGCTTCCTCTCTAATCTAATGCTAAGGAATATGCGGTGATATCTGCTATGAGGGTTGAGTTTTCCTTTTCTCTTTTTTCCCCCAATGGGAAGAAGGAAGTGGGAGGGAGAGAAAACAAATGTGCATTGATTAAAAAATAAAATTCTTAAAAACAAATATGTAATAGTCAACTATAACTAGTTTTAGAACTTCAAGAGAGAATTTTTATGTACTTAAAAGAAATGAAATCTGGAAGTTGCCTACACAACAATGAAATCACAGGTCTAATCGCTACCCTTATCCCTAGTTTTTTTAATTAATCTTTTAAAAGTTTACACCCTGTGCTATTATAAATAATATATAAATAACATCAGCAAGACTGTCTGACTATTCTTGTCATATAAGTACATGGAAAAAAAAATCAGTTAAATACAAAAGGTGATATTCATCATACTAAAAAGCATTGCTGTTCGGGTTCTAATTACAATTATGGGTTTGTCTAGATGCACTTTCTAACTCGAATTCTGTGATTCTACTCCTTTATTCCCAATTACAAATAAATTTATGTACATATATATAACAATGTTAAACATACAGTTTTCAAAACTTGCTCAAGTTCTGGTCTCAATTCTTCGTACAAATTTCTCTTATAACTAAATCACATAATATAAGTCATTAAGAATATTAACAGCTGAATAACCAAACATTTTTAATGTCTAAATTAATAAAAAACTTTATTTTTTTCCAACCTCTAAAGTTCTTAACTCAAGAAGCTGAATGAAATAAAGCCACGATTTTTAGGTCTTTAAAACAACAATTTCATTTGTTTCACTGCTACCTACAGTATCTACTTTGTTATAAATGTCTGAGATAAGAACTTTAATAACAGTTATCTCTTTTCAATTCTAACATGACAGGATGCAACAGTAATACTAGGGGATATGAAATCCAAAATAGGATCTTGCTCAGAGACAGAGAATGTACAGTTCTCATACTTGCTAGGTAAAAGCGATTTCAAAGCCTTCGATTTTGCTAAAAGCAGCAGAAGGAACAAAAGTTAAGTCACTTAGTCATGTAAACAAAATACCCTAAAGATTTTGCTACATTTTCTCTGGACACCTATTTGGTTGATGTTTATTGTGGGGACTTATTGATAGAACTTTACAGGTCAGTTACTCAAAATGTAAACACTTAAGAGGCAACAAAAGGAAAAAGAAAACAGTAACATTTAAGCATAGCATTTTCAGTAACAAAACCATTCAATATTCATTCCATCTTCATCAAGAATGTTTTTAAAATTCAATTACTTCTCAAAAGTTCAGACCAAAAAAAGTCATGAGGCTTTAAATGTTAGAATGCAGTCGTATTTCTCTACCCAGAGACTTGACTTTTCTTTTTACCCCCACTACTTAGCACAGTGTCAGACACAGAGTAAACACTTAATGCATGCTTGTTGAATGATGGGTCATACCCAGAAGTAGGAAGAGAAAAGAAAACGGAAAAACCCTCTTTGGCAGCAAAGCAGTATCCCCTGAACATTCAGCAACAAAGAGTCAACAAAATCCTAAAACACAAAAACTACAATTGAATAACCGTGATTTAGTCGGTCTATCAAGCAGCAGGGTTCAAAAAGAAGTCAATTTCACAGATGGAAGAAATATGGCCAGATAGCAGTTTTCTGGAGGGAAAGAAAGAAAAAAGAAAGCTGGAGGGTTTTGTGGCCCAGAAGCACAATCTGAGTCAACAGGATCATCTGAAGCTGCATTAACAGAAATATAGCAACCAGAAACAAGGAGGTGACAGGCCTGCTACACTTTTCCATGGTCACTTCCCATCTGTGTTCAATTCTAAACACCACATTTTAGAAAGGACACTGATAAGCTGAACAGAGAGCCAACAAGATAGTTAAGAGCTTCAAGTTCATGACACAGGATGATCATTTCAAGGACCTGGGGATATTTAACTTTGGGGAGCATGTTTGGTCCTAGAGAGCACAACAAGGAGCAATAGGTAGACACTATAAAGAAGTGAATTCACGATTGATATAAGAAAATAAAAACTTCCTTGGGTAGTGAGAGCTACCCAAAAGTGTAATGGGCGACTTTGGAAAGTAGTGGGTTTCTCCTCATTGGAGGTCTTCAAGCAACAGCTGAATGACCTCTTGTTTTTATTGCTGCTTTTTAACTAAATGGCCACTGAGGTCTCTTTCAACTCCAAAATTTTGTAATTTAAAAAGAAATAAAATGATAGCAATTAGATGCAGCAGTAAGCAATAGACACACCTGACAATTAAAAAAAAAAAAGCACACCAGCTTGGGAAGTTAGTCAGTCACAGAAGATACATCTCAGTAGCTCCTAAGGCTATACTATTGTCAGGTCAAAGGCACATCAAACCTTTGAACAGCTCTCCTGTGTGGAAAAGGTAAACCTATTTAGATCTCAGTGGCCCCAAAGAAGGTATCAATGTATAATGTTAAAATACAAAAGACATTAAATAATAGATGGACAGTTACAGAGCTTATTCTGAAGAGTTTGATTTCTTGTAGTATTTATCATTTTCTTTTCATAACTTATCAATGCTGTGTATTAATTTGGTCAATAATTCTAAGTAGAAAAGAATTTTAGAGAAGAATTTCAAGAGAAAGTTAGTATGTAGTACAAATACTATACATAATTTTTAAGCCCTTCATAACAGTATGTTGCTTATACTTAGAACTCTGTTCAAAGTAAAATAACAAAGGAGAACTTGGAAAAAAGTATGACCTAGTGATATGTCTAGAGAAGGTTCATCTTTTCATGAAGAAGTTACAAATTTTGGAGCAAGTTATCCCCACAATATCCTAGCACAAATTATCAAACTGCTCCTTCACACCCCATGAACAAATTCAAGATAAGCAGCACATAAGGGCTGGCACAAGTTGCTGAGGAAGTGCCTATGTTAATTTTTTTCAGTGAGATACAAATTATAGATAATATTCTGAATGGTGCTGACAAAACAAAGTACATAACTGATAATAAGAATATAATTTTCTGGAGGTTAAAAAGATACCTGGAAGATGGCTATTTCAGACTTTCTCTGGTCTACTAATTAAAGTTGCAGAAAAGTGTCCATGTTACCCTCCCCAAGGTTATCCAGGTACACATTTCACTCCACCTTCATAAGAAGGAAGCAAAAAAGATAACACCAAGGGCCTTTTCAAAAAAGCAAGTTCAAGGGTCAATTCCCTTTCCAACTATATAACACATCAAAAAATTTTAGAAATGTATTATAATACCACCAGTTATCAAGAAAAGATCAAATTGTATGTGTGTATAATATGTGTGTATGTGTGAACATATAATATATATATTATTTTTTTAAATCTGAATTATTAAAATAGCTGCTTCTCTTAAATATCCTTATAAAGGTATGATTCTAAACACTAGAAAGCAATTTTAGTTATTTTGGCACCTTTTCCCACCAATGACATAAAGGGGGAGCAACAAATAAATATTACCCATTAATAGTAATGGCTAATTATTTATGCTAATATTTACAGAGGCAGCTAAAAGGTACAGTGGATAAGAGTGCCAGGCTTGGACTCAAGAAGACCTGAGTTCAAATCTAGCCTCAGACACTTATTAGCTCTGTGATTCTGAGCAAGTCATTTAACCTTGCTTGCCTCAGTTTCCTCATCTGTCAAATGAGCTGGAGAAGGAAATGGCAAACTACTTCAGTATCTTTGCCAAGAAAACCCCAAAAGGAGTCACAAAGAGTCAGACATAACTGAAAATGACTAAACAACAATGATATTTATGCAGCATTTAGCTTATAAAATGTTTTACGTATTATCATTATCAAAGTTGTATTCCCGGTTATTATAAATTCAGAAACTGCAACCCAGAGAAGTTACATGATCTGGCAGTGGTCACACAGCTGACAAGTGTTGGAGAAAGGAATGAACGCAAGTCTTCCTAATTTCAAGTCTAACAGCACACTCATTATGAGATGCTGCCTCCCTTTGAAAGCATTCCGTGCTTTTTTTTTGGGTGGGTGGGGGGAATGGCAGGAGAAGGCAAGCAGAGATGTGGTAAGGACTTAGATTTGTGATTTTATACATGCAAGAAATTCCCAATGTAGCCTCTCTCCTCCGAACCAAATCTACAAATCCCTTGTAGCTTTCTGTCTTAAAACAGCAGTCTGGCCCATGGTCACACCACTATTACTTGTGTCAAAGGCTGAGCTTGTCCCAACCTTCCTGTCTGATCTCTAGCCACCTCGCACACACTGCCTCTCGTGCTTTTGAGACCAGGCACAGGGTTTTTCTGGTATAAAAAAATACCTATGACAAAACTCCTACCAGGGCAGGTTGGCACCTGCTCAACTTAAAGTGAAGAGTTGCTAAGGGCACTGAGAGATTAAGTGACTTGTCCAGGGTCAGATAGCTATGAGGTATCAAATTGAACTTAACTCAGGTCTTCCTGGCTCCTAAAATGGTTCTCTCTACTACTCCTTTTCTACTTCTGCCAAATTGAAAAAACTAAAGAGATAAATTGGTCAATAACATTGCTTTAGTACCAGTATATAGAGAACTAAAAAATAACAATTTTCCCTTATTAGGCTTCCCATATTTATCCAATTCAGTGCCTACCTAATACTAAATCTCCTGTTTACCCTAATCATTTTATGTCTTAAATTAATGATAAAGAGTTCTTGCTGACAAGGAACAGAAGAGTGTAGTAGAAAAGACACTAGACTGGAGTCAGAAACTCCTGGGTTTGAATCCCACCTCTACAATTTGCTAGCTTTGTGAGAGTCATCAAATCTGTCTAAACCTTGATTTCTCTGTTTATAAAATGAATATATAACTGCTCTAACCATACTATAGCATTATTTTAAGGACCAAATGAAATAATGTTTGAAAATCACAATACTATATATCAATTCTCAATTATTAATTCTAGACTAGACAAATTATTCCAGTACTTCTTGCCTCTCTAGTCTCCTTCCCCTGTCCTGTGTGGTTCCAGGCTCAAGCCTCACCTCATTCACGAATTCTAACTCAAAAGTATTGAGCACATCTTTGCCACTAACAATAATGGGCAGTCAGAGGCTATGATAGAAGTTATCTCAGGCTCTGAAAGTAAATAATGTTAGAGGAAGATGCCATACACAGCCCAGGGTACTAATACATTATCTAAATTATTTCTAGACCCATATAATCCTATTAGACAAGGTTCTACTGTAAGGATTAATAAGTTACTTCTCACATTGGAAACTTTGGTATTCTATTCCACTTGTAAAAATGAGCTTAAGATTTTATGTTTAATAAAAAGGGTATAATAAATAATAGCAAATTCAATAAGCTATGGCACCACAGTTTAGTCATAGTAAACATAGTGTTTTAAGATGTTTTAATTTAACACCATTAAGTTTATAAGCACAAAAATACAAACTTAACATACTGAAGATATGATTAATGACTAACATCAACGTCATGGGGGAAAAGAATACAGCAGTGCTTAGGCAACACAGACTTCAGATAATAAAAACCAAGAATACTTCAGCCTATAATTATTACAAGAGCCCAATTTGAAAAGATATAAAATAATGTAATACTTACTCACACAATACCACATATTTTTCAAGAGATTCAATCAGTAGTTTGCTATCTCCATGATGAAAATGAAGAGCAGGGAGAACGACGTCATCCTTTAGACAGAATACCAAATAAGACCAGCCCATACCCTCTTTGTTTTGCTTGATTGACTTCAGGTCTGTCAAACTGAACAGGAATGACCATTTGCTTTTCCCATTCGTATGACTTGGAGCATCTTAAAAACAAAAAATCATGCCATAATATTTTGTTCACCTTTTTAAAAAAGGTATTAATCAACCACCTCATGACTACCTGATAAAAATTTTCTGCATCTTTTTGGATTATAACAAGAACAACTATGCTTTCCCATCTGTAGTGAATAGAACAAGATATTCACTCTTATGTCAATTTTCATAATGATTGCTCCAGGACTAAAACATTCAAAAATGTATTCTTCCTTGTTTCAAATTATTTCCCCTCCTCTTCACATTCTACAAAATCATCCATAAGCTAAGGCAATATTTGCACATCTGTTGCTGGTACACTGGTAAATCATTAAGTCCTCATGTGGAATTAAAATTCCTTTGTCCCTTGACAGTAACCACATTGAATAATAACGGTTAGTACGAATTACACACACACACACACACACAGAATGTAGATATATATACACAGAAGAGCGATAAAGGGTACAGGCAGACAAATGACAGAACCTGGGTCTGGGTTCTAGTACATGCTCCACCATTAATTAACTATATGACTTTGGGAAAGTCACATCCTCTCTGGCCTCAGTAGCCTTATCTGGAAAAGAGGGGAGTTTGATCATAAAAACCTTCACAACTCTAAAATAATTATTCTATGATAAAACATGACAATACTCCCTTACCTCAAATGTACATGTGTATTAATAAATGTAAAGGTCTGAGAAACACTTAAGTAGGACAAAAACTGCAATACATACATGTATATACATGATTATATACACAGCTTTAAATATTTATAAATACAGAAGTACTAGGAAATGTATTTATTTACATTCTAAATTTTGATTCTATTGTGAAAGATAGTAACTTGTTACATTTTTTTAGATCACTGTGATTTTATGAACATTTTGAGAAATATGGATAAAAAAAAGAAATATGGATGAAAAAAATATGGAGACTAGAGAGTCTTTACTGTGAGTCAAGCACTGTACTAAATGCTAGGGATACAAAAAGAAAGGCAAGACAGTCCCTGCTCTCAAGGAGCTCACATATGCTGGTGGAGATAACATAGAAGAAAGTTCAGCTGCAGGGCCTATGGAAAGGCTCTGAAGTCCTAAAGGTTCAGCAGCAAAGAGATTGGCATGGTCCAGGTATCCTTAGGGTGAATCTAAAGTCAAACAGCAATGCCAGGCATGTTTAATGTGTGAAGGCCCATGTGTAAAGGAGACCTGGAGGTCTTAAGATGCAAGTGGCAGGGCAGATGGTAAGGCTTCTATTGTAACAGAATTTCTAGATGAGTTGGTTGCTTCCTGCTCATCAAAGTGATATGAGTAGCCATAACCAAAAGGTAGAAAAGAAGGGTGTCAGCGTAGAGATGGAAGAGGAAGGCACTGGAAGGAAAGTTGGGGATAAAGCGTACCTGGTAGTAAATGCTCTTTCAGATCTATGGCACCTAGGTGAGTCGTGAACAGGGGTGCCAGTAGTCAGTCCTATGGCTTCACACACAGTAGGGCTTAACAAATGCTTTTTCATTCATTTATTCATTTCCTCTCAAAATTTTCATAATATTACAGTGATATGAAAAAAGTTACCAAATTACTAACTTTCACAATAAAATTATCAACAGTTTGTAAATTAAAGAATGTTCTGACAGTTTCCTACTTGCAAAGTAATACTGGGTTCCACCTAGGAAATGAGAAATGTGCAACTAACATAAAAAGTATTTAACATTCAAAAATATCTCCTAGTAATATGTAAAACAATAAATCAAGACCTCAATCCAAAACAGGTGAAACAGATGCATAAATGCGACCTGACAGAAGAATTTCCTAATAGTTGTTTGGTTTATAAACATCCCCCCACACCAAAACAAGCACTCCATTGAACCCTTAGGAAGTACTCACACACTGTACCAGGTGATGAAGGAAAGTCTTGTCCTTACTCTTAACAAATGACATAACTAAAAAATAACCTCATATTATTTCATATAAGTAAATTTATTGTTTCAATAATTTCAATAAATTATATCAATAAATAAAACATTGATTAAAAAGAAAAATCATGTTATTCAAGTTCAAAAACCAAATGGTACCTGTTTTAAGGCTGTTGTTTCTTGGTCTAGACTCTAAAATTGATATCCATCTTATTTGAATATGTCTTATTTTTATTAATTATTCATGTTAAGAGTTAAGAACGACCTGCCAGAATTTGCTTACCCCTGACAACACTTTGCAAGGCCCTGGGTCACCTCCATTTCACAATGAAGCACAGGAAGCCTTTGGCAGAGGTTTATGTGCTTGTTATAACTTATATCTGTGTTTCTCTACTAACCCTAGTCCTAAAGCTAATCCCTGTGCACCCTTTACACTATTTGTTACATATCCTCCAGAACTTTGTTCCAACAGTCCATCTCACCAGCCTTCACACTCCCTCTCCACTGCTGCGTTCCCGTCTGCCAACCAACACACTTGGGTCTCTCCAATTTACAGAATCCTTCCCTTGGCTCCTGTAGCCCATCCAGCTGTTTCTCCATCACTCACCTCTGTTTTATTGCTAAACTTCCTAAATAACCCACCTAAACCTGATGTGTCTACATTTTTTCATGATCCACTCTTTTCAATCCATTATTTGATTTCCACTCTCAACTATTCTCCTGAAAAAAATCAATAATCTCCTTATCAGAGAATCCAATGACCATTTTTAGTCTTCTTGCTCCCCAAAATATGCTGACCGACCATTCTTTGTTTCTAGACACCTTCTCCTTACTTGGCTTCTCCAGTTTCTCAGGCCTCTCTAACTACTCTTTCTATCTCCTTTGAGAATCTCATTTTATTCTCAGTTCCTTAATGGGAGTGTGGTTCAAATTTCTGTCCTTGACCCCCTTTTATCTTTTCCCTCTACACACTCTCCCTAGGCAATCCAATTCATTCTCATTGCTTCAACTGCTAAGTCCCAAATTCAAATTTGCAGTCTTGATTCCTCTTCTGATCTCCAGACATATATATCCCAACTTCCTACAGCTGTTTTCTACCTAGTTGTGCCACCAGCACCTCAAATTCGAACTATCCAAAACCAAGCATTTTCTGTTTAAATTCACTGTTCTATTTCTGTCAGTGACAACTGTTCCTGTTCAAAACTCAGGTGTTATATTTTAGCCTCTCAAATCCAACTAGATGCCAAATCCTATCAATTTCATATCTGCAGCACTTTTCTATTTGTCCATACCCCCCTATTCATTCAATCATCCTAATACAAGGCCCCATTACCACCAACCTAGGGCTATGGCTTTTACTTACTCTCTACTCCAACACAGCCTTTATACCAAGGCCAGAATAATCTTTCTTTATGAATATATCTGGTCATGTAATTTTTATGCTCAAAAATCCTCTTAAGCTCCTTAGTACCTAGCTACCAAGGTTTAAATCTTTTGCCTGACTTTCACAGCTCTTCACAAACTGTTATCAACCTAGTATTGTAGCCTCATTCAATATTACTGTCCCCCAATCAACCAACAAGCAATCATTAAGCACCAACCAAACTGGGACTATTCTGTTTCCCAAATATGTCCTTCACTTAACCTATGTCTGTGCCTTTGTTCATGTGATTCTCTTTATCTATAATGGTTCCCTTATCTGTATCCTCTAAGCTCAACTTAAATGACATATCTTCCATAAAGCCTTCCTTGTCTTCTCCTCTTGGAAGCGCTCTCCTCTCTTAGACTTCATATAGTGAGTTACTCTGCACTCAGAATATGTCATAGATGTTAAGTTCCAAGATGTTAAGGATCATCTAGTCTAACCCTCTTGTTCTGCATAGGAGAAAACTCAGGTGCAGACAGTTTAAGTAATTTGCCCAGAGTCACAGAGGTTAAATTTCAGAGGTGTAATTTCAACACAGATCCTTTGTTTTTTGAGCTATTACTCTTTTTACTGTATGACACTGCCTCCATTTCAGTTATCTGCATGTGTGACAACACCCTACTAAACAGTACACACAATGAGATTAGAAACTACAATTTACCTAAACTCAGTAACTCCCCCAATACCTAACACAGTGCTCACAGTGGGAACTTCAATATATGTTCTTGAATTTGCCAGCCAAACTGAATGAACCAATGGGTACCACTCCTAGGAAAATCAGAAATACTAGGTGCCATGGATTCTATAGTTAAGATAAGAAAATTCCTGGAGTGTCAAGATGAAATCCACAAATATTCTCATGCACAAATGTAGACACACTGTAAAATTCCCATAATTTCCATCAACCCGGAGGGAGTTCCTAACCTCCAGAAAGACCAACATGTCACCAAATTATGACTTTATCACACTGATTTAACTAGCCTAATTTCCAAGTTAATAGTCTAAGTTGTAGATACATAGGTAACAATTTCACATAATTTTGTTTGAAAAGTACTTATAATATAACACAAGGCATAATGAAGGAAATCTACCTACCCTCTCCCAATAAGAATATCACTACCTCTTGGTAAAGGAAAGTGTAAAACTACCTGAAAGAAAGGGTTAACAAAAATTGAAAATCTAAATTATCAAGATTCACTTTTCAAAGACATCAGTGATGTCAAAAATAACAAAAAGAAGCTAAAGTAATGGATAATGCTTTTAAACTCATAAATCTCCAAAAGGATATTCATTCTAACTAAGGAAACAAGGCTTAATTGGAAATACATTGTTTCGTAACCAGAAAACGTGAAGCGTTTACTTCACGTTTGAGCAATATAATTATAAGCAAACTTATTTCCCTAGTTAATGGGAAAAAAGGCAGATGATGTAATAAATATAGAAAAAATTGCTTTCTTGTTACATTTCCTTAAATTAAATTAGGAGGGAAAGGAAAACAGGAGAAATAGTTAAATATTAGCATAGCACGAGGTCAATAGAAAAAAAAATCTATAACCTAACATACCAACAGCTGGAAGGACAAAAAGGAAAACTGATAGTGCTCTCAAGATCATAATTTTTCTTGTTTTTCTATGAAAAGAACCTGGAAAAAAGTAATTATTTTTCTTTTCCCTTTGCAGCTATTACAGAAACAGGTAGAGAAACATTGGTAATTATATACAATGTACTTAATATGTCACCAGGTCTATGTGACATTCTGAAGAACTGACATGGGAAATAAAAGTTTTTTTTGTATCATCAAGAAAATTAAGGTGAAGGAGGGAAAGAAAGATCTTTACTTTTAGCAATAATACATTTCTTACCAACTCTTGACCCAACCTACCACTTAGCTATTTTTATATAGGGTCTCAACCTTTATTATTACAACATAAAGGTCCCTCCTATCGTATGTCCCACTGCAATCCTTTAATGGTATTTTCCTAAATTATACATCTAATAAAAAACTGTAGCCGAATATTATTAATCTCAAATTTATTTCAAACTGTTTCCTTTTTTCTTCCTGAGTTGAGAAATAAAGAATAATGATAATAATGGCTACCCTATTTTAAACAGTCTCTCAGTCTTTGTTTTTTGTCTCAAAACGTCTATCAAAAACAGTCAACACTTTAAAACACTACTTAATTTCATACATATAACCAATTCCTATGATCTGGTCCAGAGGGGCCTTTATTACTTCATAGATCACATACCAAAATCCTACTCTGCTCTCTTTTCTAGGGATTCCAAAGTTTTAGTGATAAACTTAAATGACGTATTAAGGTCAAAGACTATATATATACACTGTAAAATCACAGATAATATTTCTGATTTCTCTAAACAAGAGCTTCAAATTCTTGTTTAATTACAAAAACCATTTTCATCAGAAATAATTTTGTCTGCAGTATGACTAACAAATTCAATTCCACAATCCATGTAAAACAATCCTACTAATTTCTTAATATTCACTAAATATATATGCACAAATATAGTTAAGACTGTCTCAGCTAGGATCTAGTCAGCTTATTCATGATCTGAATAATGAAATAGGGGGGAAAAAAACAACACATAAATCTTAACTGCTGCCTTAAAAATAATACTAACAAGAAAAAAGCACTTTATGTTTTAAAGGCCCAGATAGGGCATGAAACTTGGAATCAGGAAGACCTAAATTGAAATCAGCCTCAGATGTTTACTAGTTGGGTGACCCTAGGCCAGTCACTCAACCCTGTTTACCTCAGTTTCCTCATCTGTAAAATAAGTTGGGGAAGGAAAAGACAAACCACTCCATTATCTTTGCCAGTAAAACTCCAAATGGGGTCACAAAGAATCAGATACAACTGAAATGACTGACAACTTAAGTTAAAAAGAAAACACAACACAACTCATTCTTTTAAAACTAAAGGTCTTCATAGTATAACTACTGAGTAACGTTCATTAATTTTGTTGAATTGTTCTCCACAACCCCCCCTCCCAATTTTTTACTGCTACAAGGGAAGATAATGTTTAAAAAATGAAGGTAAAATGTTAAATTAAAAAAATCAAAAAGATATAGTATCATAAATTTAGAGCTAGAAGAGATATCAGAGGCCACCCAGGCCAATGCCTTCAATATTACAGTTAAGAAAACTAAGGCCAAAGAAAGGTTAAATGACTTTCCCAGGGTCACAGAGCTAAGTTAAGTCCAGTTGAACTCAATTCTTGCTGACTCCGAGTCCAGCATTCTATGTCATCCTACCTCAAAACATCAATAAAAAAATTTATAAATAAATAACTGGAGGGGGGGTGTTCAGATATAATGACCTAGACAACCACTACACCTCTCCTAATTCTGAGAATCTGTGGTTCTGAGAATTTTAGAATAAAAGATTTTAACTATGCTTTGCCAGATCAAATTGACATTTTTATTCTAAGACAAAAAATGTTAGCTTACTAGTTTTATTTTACTTTTCTTTAGTCTATAAAACTTATTTCACATAGATAATAGCAGATAGAGAGGTACAGCAAAAAATACAGTGAGACTACAATATACTATGTAGACATTATGTACCTCTAAACTTAGAGAATTCTCTCTTCTCCTGCAATAGTATCTTCCATCTCCCCCTGAGTATGTTAACTAATGCAACAAAACTACTGGATAATTATAGTTTTACTCTAATGGATTTTTAAAAGTAAAACAAATGAGACCTTAAAAAGTGAAAATATGTATTGTAACTACGATATACTTCTAAAACCTGATACAGATGAATTTCGATGATTTTAAGTCTTGGTTGGGGGGGCTAATAAAAGCACCTAATCCTTCTGCCTAGGGAACATATTCATTCTCTTAACTTCTAAATAAAGAGTATTAAGTATCTGTTTCTGGAAGCAAACTTTGAAAGAATTCATTTATACCTCCATTAGTATGTGGTCTCTTTTTAAATGAAACTGTGTTGACCATGTCCCACTCTGCTTCATAACTGGTCAGATGCTCCGATCCCCGACGACCTCTCTCTTTAGGGGTCTGAGTCCACTCCACAACTGAACTGGAATCCTAAAGTAATTTAGAAAATATTTTTGCCAGAGTTTAACTTCAATCCATGAAACCTATTAACACACAAGAAATACTAATATTAATTATTATTATTAAAATTCATATGGAGCTTTATGGTTATAAAGAGTCTGCTTTATATGTTTTACTGCATTTGATCTTAAAATTAAACCAGTAAAGTGAGAAGTCCAAAATATTTTTCTCAGTTTTATAGATGAAGAAATTGAGGTTCAGAGAGGGAAGGTGACCATCAAAGTTGCAACTAGTTAGTGGCAAAATGGGATCAAATTAAGGTCTTCTAACTCAAGTCTAGAGCTTTTTCTACAACACCATGATGTCTCTTTCCATACATACATGACAATTCTATGAAGCTTAGAAATTTAAAGGTCAAAAATGAAGACTTCGTTTTGTTTTCTTTGTTTTTCTTTTTTTTTTCTTTTTAATTTAGGTAATTGGGGTTAAGTGACTTGCCCAGGGTCACACAGCTAGTACGTGTCAAGTGTTTGGCCTGAGGCCACATTTGAACTCAGGTCCTCCTGACTTCAGGGCAGGTGCTCTATCCACTGCGCCACCTAGCGGCCCCTCTTTGTTTTTCAAGTCTGGAAATTAGAATGAAACAGGGCTAAAAGATCCAGTGACCAATCCAAAAATCACAGGGACTCCCAGGCCAATATTCTGTCCTCTATCCCACCTTAAGACATCAGACAAAAAATCAAATGATAGATGCATATGCATTTTCAATCAACAAAATCAAGTACCAAACATTTACAATACAATCCCTTATAAATAACCAGCTTTCCCTTTATAGTGAGGAATGGAGTATGTTATCAAACCAAGAGCCAAACCAGAAGACTGAATTTGGAGTCAGAGGACTTAAATCCAAATTATGACACTGATACATGATACCTGGGTGATTGTGGGCAAGTCATCTACTATACAAGACTCAGTTTCCTCAACTGCAAAATGAGGAGAGTGGAATAGCTGATCTCTACAATTACTTCCAGCTCTAAATACTATAATCCTTCATCATAACCTGCACTTCAGAATAAAATCTTCCTCCAATTTCTCTCACAAATCTGGCCACTCCTACAACATCTTCTTTACTGGTTCTTTTACAAATTTATTCCTCTAACAGCAAGAGCTAAGTCTCCATTCTTTGTTTCTTGTCTTACTAAGTAAAACAGCCCAAGTTCAATCAAGGCCACGAAGCACTGGATTTTGAATTAGAAGACCTGCTTCTGAGTCCTCAATTCTGACACTTACTAGCCACGTGACTCAGGTTAAGTCACTTAACTTATGTCTCAGTTTCCTCATGTGTAAAAGAGTGATAAGAAATACATATACTACCTCCCTGACGTAAAATTCCTTGAAAACTGTTACATTACTCTACATTTAAGTTATTAAAATTAATCTGGAACTTACACATCTACTCCTATAACACAACTCTGATTCAACACTCCACCAACTCAAATTATGGTGAAGAAATACCTATTTTCCCAATGTTTTTACTGCAGTTAAACATGATCATCTTTTGTCCTAAGCCAAACCCTGACCCCATATTGTTCTTCAGCATTTTTCCTTGTCCCTAAACAAGGTACATCAAATAAATTGTCAGATCCTCTTCAATGCAGTATCACCACATTCACATTCAATTCTTAGTTGAACTATTTTTAAATTTTCAAGGGAATCTCTATCTCTTCCCTCAACCTCTTTCAATCTACTTTCACATTACGCTCAAAGTTGTTACTTCTAAAGCTCAATGACAGATTAATAACATCCTACAGTCTGCCATTCACACTGTGCTCCAAAAACTCTACACATGGGAATCCTGAATTACCTTACTTTCTCTGTTTGTTGTCTCCTAGCTTGCCATTTCAACTTATCTCAAGTAGACCACTCAAGCTTTTTATTCTGTTGTTTGTCCTGTATCATGTATAAAGGGCATCAATATGTTTACAACCTAAGAATCGCTGGGACTTGTCTTTTACCCCACTGCCGCACTCTTAAAACTTTTGGATCTGTCCATCTGCCCTGTAGCTAAACTTTCTTTTATGTGTTGTTTCCCTCAATTAGAGTGTGAATTCTCTGAGAGCAGGGACTGTCTTGCTTTTTCTACTTGTATTCCCAGGGCTTATTATAATATCTGGCACACTGACACATAGTATGTGCTCAATAAATGCTTTGTTATTCATTCTTTTATTCACTTAACTTCAACTGTAAACTCTGTATAGAGCCTATGAAATCCTCCACCTGAATATCCTAACCACAATACCAAACATCATTCAGAGATACGACAGCAAAATAACATGCAGAAAACAAGCAAAATTTTAACTTACAGAAATATTTGAATCCCTTCACTGTGCTAGGTTCTGATTCAAACCCATTAGTGTCCTCCCACGGAAATTTAATGATTTTTGATGACAATGAAAGCAGCAATTTAAAAAAAAATGAAAAGGGGAGGTTAAGAATAAGTGAGAAACAAGGACATAGGGAAAAGGGAAAGAAGAGGAAAAAATACAATAAAAGTAAAGAAAAACAAGGAAGTGAAAAATGTTAAATATAAATAAGGAATAGTGGAACTGAAAATGGAAGGAAAGGAGCAAAGCATTAACAAAAATTATAAAAAGGCATACAATTAATGAATAAGAATAGGAAAAGATGGCAAATACACTATAGGCTGAATACAAAAGATCTAAAAAGAAACTGAAAATAAGAAGCAAATACGTAACAAACTAGATAATAAGAAAATAAGAATCCATTTTCTCTCTTATAAAATGGGAAATGTTTATGCAATTTTTCTTAAATACCTTTCCAGCATAAAGAATACTAGAAGAATCTAACGTATCATCCAATGGCCTCCAGTCCACTATTATATCAGCATCCTAGAAAACATAAGGTACATACTATTAATATTTGTTACACAGTTCATTCTTTATAGAATTATAACTTATTCACAGCTCTAGCCAAATATTTTAACATTCAGTAGGACTAAAGAAAAATTCTTACATTTAGGAAATGTTTTAAACAAAATCTTTGAATTTAATTTTACCTTTAGTTATGAAAAATTATATAGTTTTATGCTAAAAAATAGTTGTTGGAAGAAACTTTGCCTTTTTCACTGAAGAAATTGAATTAAATTTGCCACTTTGAAAACAAATTTAATAGAATACACTGTCCCAATTTTAAAACATAAACATAAGCCACTAATTGAACCTTTAGAAAAGTTAGTCTTTTCATTGTCTGACATTCTACTAGCTTATCAAACTATCTGACTTCAAAGACCACATTCATTTTAAATTCAAGACTTTCCAAATACAAGATGTGCAGGCATACTATGGTGCCTAAGAACACTAAGGATAATTTATTCTTAAGTAGGCATAGGGCACTGAGCTCTACCAGTAAGGAAGTCCCATATCAATGGGTTTTGGGACTTGGATAATATACATCAACTAACTTCACTTTGCAGTCTCATCTGTGACATTTGGCAAAAATTTTCCAATATTTTTATGGAGGGTAACCATAACAAATTTTTGTGAAATGCAATTTTTTTTAACTAGATCTGTACCTTTTCTAGGACACGCAATATTCCTGAAATCAAACTGTCTTGATCGTTGATCTTTCCACAAGATGAATGAATAAATACACCCTCCTGTTCATATATAATCTGTAATTTAAAAAAAAAGGAATATATTTATTTTTATTTATATCAATCACAATATTTAAAATATAAACATATAAGAAGCATTCTTATATTATCTGGGTAGATAGAAGGCTATGCTCATTACAAAGTTTAATATTTAAAGACCATCTTAAAGTTTGGATGTAAAAGAGTAACAATAACAAAATTCTGATTAATGCTGAATCGAGCATCCACCAGTGCTTCTATATTACCAGGTTTTTACTAAAACTGCATGAGCAACAAATCTCAAGATATAAAATAGTTTGGGGGACACATGATAAAATCTGCATACACATCAAGGCTTTTGAGGATATGGCTAGGTTGTGACTTGCACTGGTAAATTAAGTACCTATACCTGAGGGATCAGAGATCTGTCACAATGTCCAAATAAAAATTTTTTTAGAAAAAGATTTTCAGTCAAGATGGCTGGCTGAATAGAGGCAAACAGCCTAGCTCTCATATACTTACTCCAACAAAAATCTTAAAATAGCACTAGGCTGAATAATGATAAGAAAAATCTATGAGAAACTACAAAGAATTATTTCATCCATGACAGAACTTCACGAAAAGAATACTAAAAGCCCATGGGCGATAAAAAAAAGAGGGTTTGCAGCCAAAAAACAATGCCAGCGCAGGAAAACAAGATGGAAGTCACTTAGGATAACCTGAGAAGGACCAAAGACATATGCAACCCACAGGACTCGTAGTCAGAGGCAGTAGCAAAAGCTGAGTTCCCATAAGAAAGCCAAATGATGTTTGGAAACCCACAATGTGAACCTTGGAAGCCACAGTAAAAGCAGGAGAAGAAGGATGGGGATGGGGAAAGGTACATGAATCCTAAGGTCCAGAGGTCTTTAGCATGATATCCTAAGAAGATTCTATGCTTTGAACTTCAAAGAGCCAACAGGGCCTAAAACTCACCAATGCTCATAACCTGGGTACACCCTGGGGAAGAGGTCAGTGCAGGAATCTTAAAGACCAAACAACGCCAACCAACCAACCCAAAAGCACAAGAGGGAGCAAAGCCTATCCCTGTCACAAATTCAGAAACTAAGGTTGAAGATATGAGTAAACAAGAAGACACTGAACAGCTTTAAAACATTACTTTCACAACAACTTCAAGCAAAGACTCAAAGGGGGGAAAAACAGATTTTCCCTAAGGACTACATGAGTATCTAGAAGAATGAAGCAAAAGATAAAAAATTAAATAAAAGATCTGAAGGAAAGAATTATAAGATTAAACAGTTTAAATCACAAAGTAGTAACCCAGACTCCCTCAAAAAATTAGAATAAACCAAAAAGAAACTAATGCCCGAGAGAGCAAGAAGTATATAACAAAATCAGGAGGTTAAAATTTTGAAGAAAATGTAAAACATCTACTATCAAAGATAACTGACTTAGAAAAAAGGTCAAGAAGAGTAATTCAAGAATCATCAGACTAGATGAATGAAAAACAATGTTCTCACCCCAAAAAAGCCAAGATATTTTATTTCAAAAGTCATAAATTAAAACTGCCCACATCTACTAAAAATCAAAAGGCAAAGGAAATATAGAACGAATCCATCAATCATTCCTGAAAGAAACCAAAAAAGGAAAAGTTCCTGGAATGCCATAGCCAAGCATCCAGAAAGAAGCAATTCAAGAACCAAATAACCATAGTCAAGATTACAAAAGACTTGGAAGCTTCTACAACAAACAACAAGAGATGTTGGAATATGTTACAAAAGAGAAAGAATAAACTTATTAAGAATAACCTGCCCTGCAAAACAGAGTATAATCCTACAGGGGAAGAACTAAAATAAAGAGCTTTCAAAGCATTCATAATGAAAATATCAAAGCTGAATAGCAATTTTGAAAGGCCAGATAAAAGATGAACTCCTCTGAGAGGAGTTCTTTATCTAAATCTCAACCTGGCCCCAATTTATCTTTCCAACTTCACCATACATAGTCTTCCCCATCAAGCTCTGAAATCCAGCTAAATGAGTCTTCTGTTTGTTCGTCATTCACCATCCTCCATCTACAATCTTTCACCGGTCTTCCTCCCCCACACCAGGAATGCACTCTCTTCCTTAGTTTCACTTCATAGAGTACCTCCCTTCCTTTAAGATGCAGCTCAGGCACCATCTTCTACAAGAAGTATTTTCCTGATCCCCCAAATGCTAGAGCACTAGGGTGCTCTCACTCTCCCAAACTACGCTATTTATAATTGTTTTGTAACGTGTGTGTAAACACATATATACGTAAATATTTTATGTTGTTCCTCAGTTATTTCAGTTGTGTCCAATTCTTCATGATCCCATTTGGGGTTTTTTTGGCAAAGATACTACAGTAATTTGCCATTTCCTTCTCCAGCTCATTTTATAGATGAGGAAACTGAGGCAAACAGGGTTAAGTGACTTCCCCAGGGTCATACAACTAATGTTTGAGGACAGATTTGAACTCAGGTCTTCGACTCCAGGTCTGGCTCTCTACCCACTGCACCACCTAGCTGCCCCTATATATTTTATATGTGCTATATATTTATCTTTGTACTTGTCACCCTTTAGAATTTGTCACTGCAAGTAGGGATTATTTCATTCTTTGGACTTGTATGCCCTGGGCCTAGCACAATGCCTGAGATATTGAAGGCATTTAATAAATAGTTGCTTGAATGAAATATAATAAAGCCATGTAAAGAGGACGAGGATGTTCATACGTAACAGAAACCTCTGGAACACGGATTTAGAACTGGAGGGGCACCTGAAAGGCCATCTAGCCCAATAATGCTCTCACCTTACAGTTAAGGAAACAACAAAACTATTGAAACTGAATATTAGAAAATAATAAAGAATTACCTAGGCCCCAAAGAAAAAGATATGAAAGGACACTTTCTCCCTCCCCCTGGGCAGAGGTAGAATCTATAAAATCTGAAATACTGCATATATCATCAGATTTTTCAATGGGTTTTGGTGATTTTTTTTAATTATTCATTTTAAGAGACAGATCTCAGAGGGAGAAGGAGGAAAAAAGAAACAGTTAAATCTGGGCGATATAAAAACCAGGTATCAGCAATTTTTTTAAAAAGGTGAGTCACTAGTCAAAGAGCTAGGTATTAGATACTGTGATAAGCACTGGGGAGACAAAAGCAAAAACAGTTCCCGACCTCATGAAGCTGACATTCTAATGGTAAAGGCAACATATAAACAACTAGGTACACACAAGATATAAAGAGGCTAGACAAAAAGCAGTCTGAGTGTAGAAGGAAGGCATCATGATGCAGCTGGGGGACAAAGAAAGACCTCCTGTAGAAAGACACGTGCCATCTCGAAAGAAGTCAGGTAAACCAAGCAACAGAGGTGATGGCGTAAACAATGGGGTACAGCCAGTACAAGGCATGAAAGGGAGTATCCTGTTTGAGGTTCTCCAAGTAGGACAATGTGGCTGGATTGTACCATGTGTGGAAGGGAAGTTATGAAGAGCTTAAAATAAAAAGAGCTTAAAATTCTAAGCAGAGAAGTTTCTATTTGATCTGGGAGACAACAAAGGACTGTTAATAAACTGGAGTTTATTAAGTGGGAGTGGGGTTTACATGGTCAGCCCTATGCTTGAGAAGCCACTATAAAGCCATTCAAGGAGAGTTCTATCTTCTTCACTATGGTCTCAGATTAAAAAGGTAGCATTTCTCTTGGCCGAAGTCAATTCTCCTATAGGCACATCTGATCCAACCCCCTCCAGACTGGAAAAACTGCTTCCACTGTCATCCTCCCTCTCATCTTCCTTCTCTGGCTCCTTCCTTGCTGCCTACAAACACGCCCACGTCTCCTCCATCCTCATGTAAAGGTGCAGTAAAAACCACCCAATTCTATTCCACTTCAGTCTCATAGTTTAATGAGGTGAGAACTAATTTCAAATTGATCAATCAAAAGACCTTAATTACACCTGGGGTTCCTAAACTGGGATCCATGACTCCTAACATTTTGGTACCTGCATTTCAATAAAACTGGTCTGTCTGTAATCCTATGTGTTTTATTTTATGTGTTATAAAACATTATTATTCCAGGAAGGAGTACGTAATCTTCACCAGACTGCCAAAGCGATCCATGGCACAAAAAAATGGTTAAGAATCTTCACCTTACACAAAATGGAAAAAGTCTTTTAAAACCATTTGATGAAGTGAAATGACACCAGACAAGAGGTCTGTTCCAACTGGCTGTGAGTTAGCTGGAATGGGAGATTTTTTCTAGAAACTGGATTGTGATTTTCTATCAGATCCCTGAAGAAGAACCACCTCGGGGGAGAGGAGATGTCAGCGTCAGCCTTGGTCCGTTTTTTCCATTGAGCAGAGGAAGACCCTCCAGCTGTAAAGGGTCCAGGGAATGTCAGACTTCCCATCTTCCCATTGCTGTCCTTGTCCTGCAAGGTGTCCCCAAATGAACTGGCAAAAGTGTCTGCACTGGGAGGAATGGAGAGACTGTACTCAAAAGCTCTACAAGGAACCTAGCAACAAAATCACAAAAGGCCTAAGATGAACTTCTTCAGGACCCTATAAATTGAAGGAAAGGACTTCGAGCAACCAGGAGCTGGCTATGAGTTACCCCTATGCCACATATGTTCTCTAAGCTTGAGGTCGCTATTCTCTGGATTCTGTCTGTACTCATGGGAAGAGTATGGAATAGACATTTGAGGAGATGTTTTATACCAAGTATTCTTACTGTACCACCTTAATAGATATCATTCTAAAAGCTACTTAAGACTCAATGACTAAATCATTCTTAATCAATAATCTTGGAGCACACCAGCAGAAGCTCCAGTCAGTGGAATCAATGAAGCACTCAGCCCCTCTTAGCCTCTAGGGTACCACTACAACTCTGAGGCAGAGATGTAGCCAAGTTCTTGGGACTTGACTCCTCTGTGAGAGTGGCAGCTGGAATAAGGATCCTTGGAGTTTACATGGACTAAAATCAGTAACAATAATTATCATCATGATGATGACAACAATAATTATG